TTTATCAAGAATGCAAACAAATAAAAATTTGTACTGAAAATGAATGCACATGCTCTGCAGGTTATAGAAATTATGAAGGATATGACTGCTATTATAGTAAGTTTTCTCCACAATGAAACAGGAACTTAAATAATGTAGAAAACAAACAGATTGTGAATATGGAACTTATGGACATGGATGCAGGAAAAAATGTGGAAATTGTTATTATGGCAGAAATAATTGTGATAGGATCGATGGAACCTGCGATAGAAACCAATGTGAAATAAATTACTCAGGCCCAAAATGTGACAAAAGTAATTTAATTCCAATTATTTTAAGACACTTATTACTCAATATATTCCCACAGGATCAACAGTAACTTTTCTACAAACACCATCAGTTTCAAGCATTACTTACACAAGTGCCACTGTAACAATAACAAATTTTACAGTTGAAAATAATTTAAATGTAGAAATAACTGGATATTTATTTCAATATAAAGTTGAGATTGCTATTTCATTAAACAAAATACAATTTAATTTTTTTTAGGAAGCAGATAATCGGATTAATAATTGGAAAAATACTGATTTACTTTATTTTAACCAAATCACACCGACAACAATTTCTGATTTAAAACCAGACACAAAATATTTCGTTCGGGCTGTTATCAAGTCTTCAGATGGTAAAATCTACAGTGATTACATCGAAAAGTATACAGATTTTACAACAAAATGCGAAGGTAGTTCATTAAAATTAACAATTTTGGTTTTATTTTTCTCTTATTGTTCCAGATGTGACTAAAAACCAAGTTGATATCACACCATCAAACACAAGTGCAACTGTTTTAATCCAGGTAACACTGACGTTTCCAAATTTTTTAACACTAAAGAAACCTTCCAGAGGACAGAAAATACATGCAAATTAACTAAATACTCAGTTAATGTGGACGATATTGGGAGAGGAAATATTTTAAACGAAAGTGCTATCATTTTTGACAAATTGAAACCATTCACTCATTACACTCTTAATTTAATCATCAGTGACAAAGTGAACATAGAAAAAAAAATTCAAACGACTGAAGGAGGCAAGGATTAACCACAATTATTATTTTATTATATTTCTTGTGCAATTTTAGTGCCTCAACAAATTTCTAGCTTAATTATCATCAACATGTCTGAAACGTCCATTGGTTTCGGAGATTCAAAAATTATTAGTTTTATCTGTTCAAACAAAAAAGAGAAGCTTTTAGTAAAAATCTAAAAAAATTCATATTTGATATCTCCGAAACCGTTACTTTACGAACCCATGTTTATTAAGACTTTTTTGTTTGTTTTGGTCCAAACTATTACTTCCTGAAATATTTTACAATCTTTTTTTAACACCCTGTTTAAGCTTGAAATTAAAATGAGAAATTGCAGTACCAAACGAAGTCCGAGACTTGTTGGTTTACTCAAAAAATGAAAGTTCTGTTTCTTTGAAGTGGAAACCTCCTTATCCACCAACAGGTATTTTAAATGAATACAAGATTATTTATAAATTTTATAATTACTACAAATTGAAAACTGACACTTTGAATACAAAAATAACAAAATGTCATTTATGGCCAGAATTTCATTGTGCTCATGTGACAAAGTTAGTTTATAATAAACAGTATACTTTCGAGGTAAGATACAGATAAAGAAGTTATATTTAAATCAACTGTTTTTTTTTTCAGATAGTCGGTAAAAATCTTGAACCAAATGATTTTGGAACAAAGAAATCAATTGAAGCTGTTACAATAACAGGTTGTTTCACCAGCTTTATTTGGAAAGTTACATTCATAATTTATTACTTCCAGAAAAATCAGAGCCTCCTTACGACCTAAAGATGAAATGGACGACAAAAAATGATTTAGAACTAGAGTGGAAACACCCCAATGTAACAAATGGGGAAATTGAGTATTTTAACGTCAGATTGTTTACCAGAGATTTAGATTTTGCACAAAATCTACCAATAAACAACTACAACTTAATTTATCACTTTAAAGTAAAAACATAATTAATAATAATGAGATAAAATCGATTTCCTTGTAGATTAACTCTAAAGAAATTCGACCAACGACTGATTACAGGTTACAAATTGCAGCTTGTAATAAAAAATATACTGGAAATTTCTTAATTAGAAATAACACGAGTCCACCTGATATACCACAACTTGACGATCTCCAAACTGAAAGCTCTAACAAAACAATTCTTGTCAAAATTGTCCCCAAAAAACTGCGAGGAAAAACAGATCTTTCACAATTAATGTTGTTTATTTCTGAAAAAACTACCAACGCC